CCAATAGGAGAAGGGGACCAGGAACTAGACAAAAGGTTAGATCAAGAAGAATTAACCTAGAAGGTAACATACATGCAGAGGAAATCAATGCGAGTCAACTCCCTGTATAGCTACCCTTATCTCAACTATCAAAAACCCTTGTTCTTCCTATTATTGCTTATACTCTCTCTTTAACAAAATTAGAGATAAGGGCAAAATAGTTTCTGCCTGGTAGCGAGGGGTTAGGGTGGGTAAGGGAGGGATTGGGGGTTGGGGGTGAAGAGATAAGGGAGGAGGTAGGGGGAAAGGGGAAGAAATGACCCAAACATTGTAGCACATATGAATAAAAAAAAAAAAAGGAAAGCTTAGCTATTAGTACAACTATCTGTTTAGTCCTATTGTGTCTTCCTAGGAAATCATTAAACCTAACAGTGATCTCTGATACTGTATCTACACCTTTATTTCCCTAATAGGTGTTTTGACAGCATTTAGGAAAGCAAAGTTAGTCATTTGCTTAATTACAAATCATTTATTTATTTATTTATTTAAAATTTTTTCTTTTATTATTCATATGTGCATACAAGGCTTGGTTCATTTCTCCCCCCTGCCCCCACCCCATCCCTTACCACCCACTCCGCCCCCTCCCCCTCCCCCCAATACCCAGCAGAAACTATTTTGCCCTTAATTACAAATCATTTAGAAATGAACATACAGTAACACTGAAGTTTTGTGTTATAATTCAATTTATAATTCATAGATAAAGTTAACTGCCAAAGAGATAGACTAATGATGAACTTACGAACTCTGAGAACCACATAGAGATCTATCTTCTGTTACAAATTCCAGGTGTGACATGGTAGCCCTTTTTGGTCTTCATTTCTATATTTAAGTAATATTCAAATAGGCTGTTTGTAATGAGCTGATCTTTTACTACCTTTTCAATATTGGAAAGACTGGCTTTCATTTTCTTCAGAAAGAAATGATAGAGAACTTGGCAAACGCTTTGCAAGGATGTTTTCCTTCCATTTTAAATTGAGAGGAAGAAAAGAATCCTTTGTATTTTTGGTGTCTGAAATATTAATGAAGTATTTTCCCATGTTACTTATAAGATTTCTATCTAGATCCACATAATATGAATTCTAGCAGACATTGTTTCTCAGGTTCATTTCAAAGCACATAAAACTTGGTTTCTTCCTCAGGGAAAATAATTTAGAATTGCTTGAATATTTCAGGTCAGCAGTCAAATACTGTTGAATACTAAAGGGTGATGGAAGATACATCCTTAGTTCAAAAATGTATAGAATTCTTCATAGGATTAGACTCTGCTGGAAAGAAATTTCTTTTCAGTTTGGAAAGAAGAGGCCAACTCCAAAATACTTACAACCTAAGTACACAGGAAATTCCAGAAGCTTGCCAGTCCTATAGCAACTTGATAATTACTGTTCAGTAGGAATTAGTCTAATTTGAGAATGCCCAGTGGTTGAATTTCTTATTAAAAATCAGTCAGATGTTAGTTTAAAGAAACTCCTTCTTGTTGCTTCTAATTTTTAAATTACTTGTTCAAGTTAAGGCAAAAAGAAAAATGATACCACCAAAACAACCCATTACTCAGTAACCAAGCAAAAAACTGTATGCAGCCCATTAATACTGTTAATGAAAAGGACCTGTGTCTTTTCTCTGTAAGGGTCTGGGTCTGTGAGCTAACCTAAGCTAATTTGGTTCCTCACAGTTACTGGTTCCTCTTTTGGTACTGCAGATAATTACTGGAACCTGCAGTAATTACATGTAGGTAAGCTCCAGTCTCCTTCCCCATCCCCTCCAAACCAAGTAGTACATTGGTTCAATTCAAATTCTGCCACGTGTATGGATACTTATTGGCAACAAGGCATGTCAGCCCTTTTCTGGCTTCTTGAATTGCAGTTCTCTGTCATTTGATTTTCCTGCAGTGTGCTTCAGCAGTTCCTTTGAGGTACGCCTGATAGGATAGCAGGAACAGGACTTTAGTTAGGGTCAACAAAACCTCAGAATCCTGGTGAAACAGAGGATGCTGTTAGAATCCTAACCTAAAACCTCATCCTTCAGGAGATGCACTGTTGGGTTCACAGGATTATTGTGCTCTGCTCACGTAAGGGTGTGGGCAACTGAGCAGTGTTTCTGGGTCATCTCATACTTAATGTAACTTTTTTTTTTTTTAGTACTGGGATTTGAACTCTGGGTCTCATGCTTACAAGGCAGGCACTCTACCACTTGAGCCACTCTTCCAGCCCTTTTTGATTTAGTTTATTTTCATTTTCAGATGGGGTCTTGTGCTTTTTGCCCAGCACTGGCCTTGGACCTTTATCCTTCTACTTACATCTCCCACTTAGCTGGGATCACAGGTGTGTACCACTATTCCTGCTTGTTTTTGAGATAGGGTTTCTGTAACTTTTTGTTTGAGCTGGCCTCAAACTGCTGTCCTCCCATTTCTGCCTCCCATGTAGCTGGGATCACAGGTATATGCCACAATGCACTTTTTCCACCAGTGAACGATTATTTCGTATACCTCTGGTATTGAGGGATAAAGGCAGTAGCTGCCATGCCAAACTGGGGCCTCTTGACTAGTCTTTTTTTCAGGCAAACTGCTGTGGTCTGAATGTGAGTGTCCCCCCAAACTCATAGATGGAAACCAAGTCACCAATGGGGTACAGAAAGGTGGGACCCTTTAGAGGTGATAGGGTCATTTAGAACTCCTACAAAAGAAACTGATGACTGCATCAAAGGTGCCATCCATGAGGAGCAGTCCTCACCAGACTCCAGATCTACCAGCTCCTTGATCTTGGACTTCTGACCTCCAGAAGTGTGAGCAGTATATTTGTTAATTATCAATTGCCAGTCTAAGGTATTTTGTTAATAGCACCCTGAAATGACTAAAATAATTAAGTACCCGTTTAGGATCTGTTTCTGATTAGGACACTTACGTGTTAACTAAAGACTCATATCTAACTGGGCATGTTGAAGCACGCCTGTAATCCCAGCTATTCAGAAGGTCGAGATAGGAAGATCGCAGTCTGAGAGCAGCCCAGGCAAAGTTAGGGGTACTCTTATCTCAAAAGCCAGGTATGGTACATGCCTCTAATCCCAGGTACTCATGAGGCAGAGTGGAAGGATTGTGTTCTCAGGCCAGTCTGGGCATAGTGTCAGACCCTATCTGAAAAACAAACTGAAAGCAGAACATTGGGGATGGGGATGTGGCTCAAGTGGTAGAATCTAAGACCCTGACTTCAGTCCCCAGTACTGCCAAAAAAAAAAAAAAAAGGCAGAAGGTGGGGGGAGCGACTTATATCTAAACACATGAGTAACTGGTTACCAATTCAGAGTCCAGGCTGTCAGCCCTTCCAGCTTGAATCTTTGACTGTGAATTTGTGTCATCACCTATCAGCTTCAGAGTCAATCACTGCCGATTTGTTTCTTCCTGTAAATGAGGTTTTACAATACCTGTGTATTGTTTCAGATATTCCTGGAGCTTTATGATTCAAAGGGAAATAAACAAATCCAAACTGGTTTCCCATTGGAAAGCAATAGACATTTGCTAAGCATCTATGTTCTGCTAGGCCCCACAGGTGCTGCAAGATGAATAAGACATAAATGACCAGCCCTTGCCTTCAGGGAGCTTAGATCTATTAAGGGGGTAGAATCACAGCGTAAATTGTGATAATTCAGGAACACAAGTTAACTTATGTACAAGGGAAGAGGCCACACATATCTACTGTTAGTTTTGGAGTTGTTGCCTTCTGAAAACCACTGGAAGGTGGGTGAAACCTGTTGCAGATAAGTTACACTGCCCATGGACTAGGTAACATTCCCCTTTTCCAGGGCTCAGGGCCTTGGTTAGGCGAGTCATGTAGAAGGCAAGGGATCTCCCTGTTTGTGCTGGCTCCTTCTTTGGGCTCTGATTTTAGTTTGTCTAGATTACTGAGTGAGGCTTGTTTCTGTAACTGGCTTGGGAAACTAGATTTTCACTAAATTTCATTTCAGTCACAAGAAGTGCTGTTAGGCTTATAGCATAAACATTATTGCTTTCCTTCCACATTGTTTCATGACCTGCCATTATTTTTCTTCCCTTTAAAAATAAGCTATCAAGAGCCAAGCATAGTGTCTCACATCTATAATCCCAGCATTTGGGAGGCAGATGCAGGAGGATCCACAAGTTTCAACCAGCCTCAGCTACATAGTGAGATGCTATCTCAAAATAAATGAATAAAAATAGGGCATCAATTCTGTTAAATGCTATTGGCAGAAGTAGCACTTGGATTGGCTGATGAAGGAAATTGAATTACTACATTAGTAACATGTTGATTAATACTTCTTAATGTGAATTGGAATTGTACATTAATTATTCATTAGTCATATAGCATCTCAATTCTCAGGTTTATTTGAAATGTATGGAATTTTAATCTAGCTTTAGATAATTATGAGAACATAAGGAGAGTGCAAATTCTTTAACTGAATTTAAGGGAATAACTTGCTACGCTGTCTGTTTTGTATTCACTAAACATTGGCCACTGTAATATGTGTTGTTAATTATAGAGTAAATAACATTTGTTGCACTATCAGAATGTTGAGTAAAGATTTTAGAGTGTTTAACAAGGTGATCTCATGCTAGAGAACAAGCAGGACAGTTTAAGTATCTTGACATGCATTTCTAGCTAATTGCATAGTTTTCTCTGAAGATACTACCATGCTCTGCAAGTGATAAAAGACAACTTCTGGTTCTGTTCCTGGGGATGTAAAACAAAACCAAAACATTGTGACCATTACTTTCCTTCTTGTCTTTGGTGTCCCTTGCTATCAGTCTGTTAAGCACCAACCCTAACAGAAGACAATAACTTAGCGAATTCTCACCTTACTCCTTTTGGATTGATTTCCTATCAAAGTGCTAATTTTTCCAATAGTGTTACTTAAATTAGTTTTTAGTCCTTAAATTATTTTTGTTATTTTTTATGCACTTAGATGTTGGCTCAGTATATTTCAATCTTTTACAGGAATTTTAAACAGCTGTCAAGTGAAATGGAATTTATGACAATTAATGGAACAACATTAAGAAATCTAGAAATCCTACAGAATCAGGTGAGGCAGCCACAAAGGCTAGTTGATTCAAATGGTTTTGAAAATTTTGTATTAAGGTAGGAGTATCTTCAACTGACTGCTCTCCCTGCCATCTACGTATTGTTTGATAACAGTGTCACTTTTTTTTTTGAGAATCAAATATATGAAATACTTACTTGAGATTTTTGGAGGCAGCTGTAGGGCTGTCTTTTTTTTTTAACAATCAAAGTACATATCATCCTGATAATGTCTGTATGTATCATCATGTCTGTATCAAATGTGTCTTTGGAAAGGCAACATCTTTGAAAATTAATATGAAGTAGATTTTGTCAGATTGATCAGGTTTTTTGCTATATACCTTTAATTTCTTGTTGAAGTGTTTGCAGTCTTTTTATTCAGCATATAAAACAAAATACTCTGATAGTCAATTTGGCTGTAAAGGTACATGGTATCTCAGGTCACAGACTTTCATCATTGTTTATTTGCACTCTATCACTAAAGTGGGGGAATAATAGAGACATTAAATGCTTTGGTTTTGTTTATTAAGTTATTTGAAAAAGTGAGATATTATATTGTAAAACTAATGGTATGACAAAGTCATAAAGAAATAAAACTTAATTCCAGATAGAATGCAATGCCAATTCCAAACCATTTAATTAAGTAGTAGAGAATCTGAACTATTTGAGTTTTAAATGATTTAAAGTTCTTCAGAAATATTTATTACCATTGCAAAGTAAACACTGAATTTATTTTCCTGATTCTTGGAGCTGAGTATATTAACTTGTTTCTTTTCTTCAAATCTGTCCTGGTACATTCCAGCCAGACTTGCTTTTGTTCAGTAACATTTTTATCTTTTCAGTCCATTTTACATGGCTGCAAGTGTGTTACACAGGTCTCTCTCATCACCTGCACATTTGCCCATGATAAGAAACAGGGAGCAGGAATATAAGGACATTCCATGGCTGAGGAATAGCTCCCCAGCAGAGCCTGCAGACACAGCCCTGGCATTCCAGACTTTCCTTGCTCCTGCCATATCCTCCCTATTTAAATCCTACTATAGTCTGTGCTGAAATCCAGTTTCTAAGGCAGAAGCTACTTATGAGCAAAATATGCTTTTCAGTCTCTTCTGTTATCTGATTGTGGGTCCTTGTGGAGACAGAAGCTGAGATTTAACATCTTCTACCTCTCTTTATGGTTGGGTTGCCTTTCCATGGAGGCTTCATAGTTAACCTAAAACTACATAGGCTATTCTTTTTTTATATAAAATTATCAGCATTTATCTTTTGTGAATGTGTGTGTTTTCCTTCATCAAACATTAAATGAACACTTCTTATGAGCCACACTTTATGCTAGGCATATGTAACATTTAAAACTAGGATAAGTGGAATAATTAGGGGACATGAACCACTAATGGTTTAACACAAATATTATTGTGTAGTTAATAAAACTTGTTTTCTGGTCTTTCTTAGACTGATATGAAGACCAAAGGAAGTTTACTTTGGGTTTTAGACCACACTAAAACTTCTTTTGGAAGACGGAAGTTAAAGAAGTGGGTGACGCAGCCACTCCTTAAATTAAGGTAAAATATATTCTTTTTTGTTGTGTTTTATTGAAATTATAAAATTGTGAAACCTTAGTTTCTTTAAAACTAAGGTTTCCATGACTTGTAAGAACACAATTTTACATTGGGGAAAATTTTTTTTTTATTTTGTAGCTGGTGATAGACTGTCTAATAATCTCATTCCCAAGAGTGAACCCACTTACAGATTGGAGGACATGGGGACATTGTCCAGGGATTGTTTTCCAGCTCATTTGGGTCATCAACAGTGTAAGGGAGTAGAGAAGGGACTAAAGTGACTATCAGTGCCTTTTGTGGGGAACTTGAAGCTGAGGCTCAGAAGTTGGTAGGAGGAGGGAGTAACTCAGTGTGCACATGATAGGATCAGAGCTGGCCTTGTAGGGGAGAAGTAAGAGGCAGTGATGGTGGTAAAGCTAGCAAGTTCATGGATTGGTGCTGGGGACCTGTGCTAAAGCAACACGGCTTTCCTGCTGGAATCCCAAAGAAGCAAGACAGTTTGGAAAGTACAGTTAATAGACCTGGTGCTCTTTCCTGAAAGGTGATTGAGTCTTGTGCCTGCAACCGTGGTGTCCAAATGTGTCTGCATATTGAGTCATCTGGTGAGCTTCACATGGATGCCTGTGCCCAATCCCAAAGATGGTGATTTAATTGGTGTTTGCTGTGGCTGTGGAACTGGGATTTTAATAGGCTCTCCAGGTGACTGATCCGCAGATAAATGTGGGAACTCTGACCTAGTACAGTGCCAGCATTGGGCTGGAGTCCGGTTAATGTTTATTGAGTGGATGCTATTATTTATTTAGTTTTTACTTTATACCGGTATTTAATACTCAAAATCTCTCCCTAGAAATGAGAAAACAGGTCCTGTGTTTAGCCAATAGAGGTAAAACCCAGCTGTAAAACCATCATTGACTCCAGAGCCCGAGCAGGCACTCACCATTCTCCTGAGTGGGCACTCCATGTGGCTCAACCAGAGAGTATGGTGATGATATCATGCTGATTACCAGTTCTATCAGCTGAGCAAGTCAGTCCCACTTAGCCTTGGGATTCTCACCCTTGACATAGGAAAATTTCTCCTTATAGGGTTATATAGGGAATAAAAGGAGACAACAACTCTGACTTTGAGTTCTTTATCTCATAACAGGGGCTCTACTAGGGGCTTTCTCCACGTTCTCTCTTTCAAACCTCACAACAGCCTCACTAAGTAGATGCTATAATTAGCTCCATTTACTGGGGGATTAGTAAACAGTCACTGCCTTCAGTAAGGGAGAGAGCATGTTGTGAATATCAGTTATAAGCTCTAAAACACTGTTGATGATAGTGATTACCAAGCCACTTCAGTTCAGTGGGTCACTCTGATTTCCTTTCTTAACCATAATGCCCTTAAGACATGGGAAATTTATGAGGTAGAGAAGAATCCTGAAAATAGAAGTTCCTCCTTTGGTTTAGTATTCAAATGAAATTAGGACACCTTGTAGAGCAAAGGCAGACATGACAGTTTTCTGTAGTCGCTCTGTGGACAATTATAGGGATGAGTCTCTTAAGTGATGCTTTAGGCAAAATAATTTCTAAGGCAGATTTGGTTATCTTAGAAGTAAGTATTCAGGAGCTGGTGATATATCCAAGCATGTACAGACTCTGGGTTCCATCCCCAGCACTGAAAAGAAAAAAAGTGTTCACAATTTGGTACCATATTCAATGTTGAAAAATAATAAGCAAAAAGAAATTATGAGTTTCCTTTGTGGATACCTCCTTTTCTACCTGCATGTTAACATTTTTCCAGGATTCCTTCCTAGGGCCTCATCTTACTTTTAGCACCACTCGCAGCTGTGACTACTCTTAACAACTCATGCTGATCTTCTTTATCTCCAGCACTCCAGACCCATACGTCTGCTGGGACATCTGTGCCTCAGGAAATGTTCAAGTTGAGTGTGCAAAAACAGATTGGAAAAAAAGAATTTCCTTTAATGAGATAGTGATTTCTTTCTTTTTGTTTTTCAGTGCTGGGGATTGAATCCAGTGCTTTGTGTGTGCTAGGTAAAAGTGTTACCACTGAGCCACACCCCCCAGCCCTGAGATAATGATTTTGTGGACATGCAGCTGCATGAGTGTCTATGTGTGTGTGTACACACATACCGCTTTGCCTTTTTGTAAAATTACTTCTTATGAAAGGCTTGCAGCTTATTGAGGACAGTGTGCATTCCCAGGCCTCTTGTCTTGCCCCAGTCCATTTCAGCTCTATACTCCTCACTGACTACTTTTTTAAGAAGTGTGTATCTGATTATGTTGCTTCTTGCTACTTCCCACTCTGTAGCATGCTGAGGTATAATTTATTTGTGGACTTTTGCACATTTTGTTCTCTTTTTCTCAAGTAGAAACTTCTGCCCATTTTTATGTCTCTCCTCATTTGCTAGCTATATCTTGAGTCTCCTCATCTTCTGTCTGTTGATCCTCTGTGTGTTCTGTGAGTGGTGGAGGTCCTGAGACCTGGCCCTTAAGAGCTCTGTTTTCTCTTCTTACCAGCCTGGCACTTCCTCATCTCATTTCTCTCTCTCCTAGCCCTACCTCTATGACCTTATCTGTTCTCATGACTATGAATATCAAAATGTCGATGATTCCCAGACGTTTTTCTTGTCTTTACTTTCTCCTATTTTCCAGAGACTTACATGTTCAACTTAGGATGAGATTCACGTAGAAATACCACAGACACCTCAATATATTCGGCACCTCTATCTAATGAGTGACTTGAGCCAGAAACCTGAGACTTATATGGACACTTCCCTTTCAGGAAGCACATCCAAGCCAATAACTGTTGCTTGCACCTCTAAACCAGTTTGAAGTCTGCCCATGTCTTGCCATTTCACCAGCCATCAGGCTGTTCCATGCTATCATCATTGCTCACTTTGATGGCTGCAGTAGCTTCTTAACTGATCTCTTTTTTCACAACAAAAATGAATCATGTGACTCCTGCTATAAGTTCATCGTTGTATTTTAGTCATGCTTCAAATACAGTTAAAATTTTTCAGCATGGATCTTCCAACCTGTCCCTTGCCCTGTTGTCACCCTGGTTTGCTCTGATTCCCAAGCATCCCTACGCTTTTTCTCATCTTGTTGCATTTGCATTTGTGGTATCTTTACCTAGAATGTTTTTTGTTTTCAATTTTTCATGGTTAGCTGCTTACACTTTAGGTCTTAGCCTTAAATGTCAAAGCTTCTGAGAGGTGTTCTCAGACAGCTTAATCTAAAGTATGTGCCTTCTATCAGTCTTTGATACCATATAGGATATTTGTTTATCTGTGTGTTTATTTAGTAACTCTCATCTGGTTAAACTGTATGCTTCCTTTATAGCACACATTTGGTTAGGGTTAATTGAATGAATAATTAAAAGAGTGACTCTGTCAAGACCCAACACAGATATGTCCTTTTAAAAATTATTTGTTTTCCTCCTTTTTCTGTGGGAAGTTATTCCTCTTGACTTTTTTTTTTTTTTTTTTTAAGTAGTACTGGAGTTTGAACTACTCAGGGTTTTGCGCTTGCTAGGCAGGTGCTTTACCACTTGAGCCATACCTTCAGCCCTATTTGCTATGGTTATTTTTTAGACAGGGCTTCCCTTTTTGCCTGGGTTGGCTGTGACTGCAATCCTCCTATTTATGCTTTCTGCAGTAGCTGGGGTGGTAGGTGTGTGGCACCATGGGGGTCACATGAACTTTTTGTCCAGGCTGGCTTTGAACTGCAGTCTTTCCAATCTCTGCCTCCCAAGTAGCTAGCATTACAGGCTTGAGCCACTTGTGCTCTGCTTCTCTCAATTTTCACTCTACTTTTTTACCCCACTGACAACCCAGCACACCTACAGATTGCATGCTTTGCATATAGTAGGTGATCAATAGTTTATAAACAAATGATTCCACTTGAAAGTCCTAGAATTCTAAATAAGATCTGAAAATAAAGGCATGCCTCTGTAAAAAAACATTTTTCTAAGAAAATTGATTTTCCATTTTTGGTGGTACTGGGGTTCAAACTTGGGACTTCATGCTTGCTAAGCAGGTGCTCTGCCACTTGAGCCATGTCCTAGTCCTTTTTTGCTTTTGAAAAATTTTTTTCAGATAGGGTCTTGTGTTTTTGCCTGGGTCTCTCTTTGGACCACAATTCTCCTACCTATGCCTCCCACATGGTATTGCAGGTGTGACACCATGCCTGGCCTATTGGTTGAGATGAGGTCTTGCTAACTTTTTGCCTGGGCTAGCCCTGAACCTTAATCCTCCCAATCTCTGTCTCTCAAGTAGCTGTCATTTCAGGTGTACACCACCATGTCTGGCTCAAGAAAATTGATTTTTAAAGGGATCGTAGGAGAGACAGTTTCTTCATTTTAGTGCTACAGAATTAGTTGAGAGAAACTATTTCTCTCATTGTACTAGAATTCTGTAATTGGTGATCTAGATTGTGCATTAGTTTGCTAGTACTACAAACTTGATGTCTTAAGTAGCAGTAATGTATTGTCTCATAGTTCTAGAGGATGGAAGTTCAAGATCAAGATGTCAGTAGGATTGGTTCTTTCTAAGCCCATAAGAGAGAATTCGCTCCATGCCTCTTTCCTAGCTTCTGGTGGATGGTAGTCAGTCTTTATTTTCCTTAGTTTTTAGATGCATCTTCTTGATCTCTGCATTCATGGTCACATGCACTCTTTTAATAAGGACTTGGTCATATTTGGATTAGGGGCTATCCCTATTCCAATGTGACATCATCTTAAGTATTTATATTTATAATAATCCATTTCCAAGTAAGGCTCTGGGGGCCAGAATTTGAAAATATCAGCCAAATGCAATGGTGCACACCTTAATCTCAGCTCCTTGGAGGCAGGAGGATTGTGAGTTCCAGTCCAGCTTGAGCTAAATAGAGAGTTCCAGGCCAACCTGGGCTACCTAGCAAGACTCTGTCTCAAAACACCAAATAAATAAATAAATAAATACAATTAAAGTATCTTGTTGGGGGGATGACACAATTCA